AAAAAAAAAAAAAGACAAATCTCTCCTACTAAAGTCTCTCCTCCGCGATGAGCAACAAAGTCTACCTCACACTCAAAGCATCCAAACCTCATCTTGAAACTCGACTCAAAAAAAGTTAGAATGGTGGTTCCCTGCCCAATAGCCACAAGCTCCAGCAATGTACGATGCAAATCACTCCATCCGCGAGTCTTGGTGGTTACCCCCGTGAAAGCAGCGACAAGATCCGCCTAAGACCCGGCAAAAGGTGCAACCCGTTGTAGGCGATGTACCAAGAAGTGCAAAAGAGACAGGCAAAGAGTAAGGCTTGAGTTTGGTAGAAATAAACCCTAAAAAATCTCAAAAAATATCAAAAAAGTATCAAAAGAAGACTAATAAAAAATCAAGCCTCAAGATCAAAACATCTAAAGCTAACGAAAGGACTATTAAAAACCAAGTCCATATATTGATTCAAGAGATCACATCTATTCTTTTGTATTTATGAGAATTTTATTTTTATTTTAGCTTCACTTCTAAAAGTAAAATATTCGGAGGCTTTAGGTATAGTCTGAAAATGTCACTGCCCTCGTTGAGCCAAAGGAATCGTCGTTGTCGGAGCTGCACCACCAGCCACGCGCCTGTTGGACTGGTCATTCTCCTCCAACCGACCGACCACCTTCAGCCGACCGACCACATTGGGCCGACCAAAATAATCCAGTTGGTCAGCCACCACCAGCCTGCCGACCATATTGGTCCAGCCAAAATAATCCAATTGGCCGACCACCACCAGCCAGCCAGCCATGTTGGGCAGACCAAAATAGTTTAGTCGACCAACCAACATAGTCGGCCAGCCACCACCAACCTACCGACCACAATGATCTAGCCAAAATAATTCAATTTGTTGCCCACTATCAGCCAACCAGTCACATTAGGCCAACCAAAATAATTTAGTCGATCGCCCACCCTAGCCAGCCTACCACATCGGGTCAACCAAATGACTCTGGTCGGTCAGCCACTCTTAGTCGGCCTCTTGACGGCGATGAGCTCCAATAATGAAAAAGTTCTATATTGGCAAATCTGAGCAAGGAAAGACTGAAATATGTTGTACCGCCCTCCATAAAATAAGGATATTTATTATATTATCTTTCTTTCTTATTTTTATAAATAGAGGATCCTTGACTTGTGTAAAGAGGGTTTTAAGCTCTCTCTCTCTCTCTTTCTCTCTCTCTCTCTCTCTCTCTATTAAATGCAAATAAATATTCTCTCTCAACTCCATTTTTAAATCTTGTTATATTAATAAAACTTAAAAAGTTTTGCATTGTTATATTTGAAGAATAATAATTTTTGCTTTCACAGGGATTCAAGTTAGAGTAAATCAAACAATTTATATTTAACTTTTTATGTAGGAAGTAGGAACTATTTCGTTATAAATATTTAAAATTCAAAAATATTTTAAATAGGAGCATTTTCATACATCCCACTATTCATATGTAGTTACATATCTAACCCCTAAACTTTGTTATGTATATATATATATATATACCACTCAAATCTTTAACAGCACATCAAAAAACAGACATGCACATTTTTATGCGTCGAATTAGAACATTAAAGTGTTATAAATGTATAAATCAAACTTTGGTTGCTAGATATGTATACACGTAAGAAATGTGCGATATGAGTGTCAATTTACCTATTAAATTCACATTGTTGTAACGCCTGACCATTCGAATGAAACTTTACATGGGAAATGAACATGAAAACCATCCACTTAAAATGGCATTAATCATAAGAAACTTAAAAATAATAATCAAATATGAACTACATTTTTGCCTTATAAATATGTATTATATAATTCTTGTATATTTACATATCTAACATCAAATACTTCATAAAATACTTCATATTTACATACACGACACTCAAATACTTGACGACTTTCAAAATATCACAAATATTAACTTCTTAAAATAAAATATACATCTTTCACTAAATTATTTTAGGACAGAAAAATGCTGTAAAAGTAATTATTAAACTTCAGGTGTTAAAAGCAAATTTATAGGAATTGCGTGAGATTCATGTTAAATTTCCTTCTATAATTTAATTAATAACTTAATTTATGTCAAATATATGTCACCTTAAAATTCATTTCACTTTTTAAAAATTAAAATAGTAATATTTTCATGTGATGCTAAAAATATAGGTGGCATAAATCTAAAAATCAAAGTTTAGGTGTAAGATATGTAAATACAAAAGAATTTGGTGGTACTCATGCAAATGCACCGTTTATAAAATTTGTCAAAATATATTTTTGACTTTTGACTAAATAAACTATCCTATGCTCAAAGCTCCTAAATCATAAACCGAACTCATTGAGCATAATCCACTAGCTCATAAACAAGTCAAATAGCAGCTTCTGTAGCAAGAGCACCAACTTTCATTAGCAGAAAGTTTGAGACACAAATTTGTATTTTCATGTAAATATTGATGAAATAATGTATCAGCTTCTGTAGACAAAAAACAATATATTCAATAAAATGAAAAAATTCACTGCAATAAGAAGAATGAACTGTAAACTATCTATCTATTGAAGAAGAAGCTGAAGATGGAATCCAAATATCCACCCAGCTGAAAATGAAATAAAACACAAGTAATTAGTTACAGTTTGCTTCAGATATTATATTGATTGGAACAACAATATAAGTTTCAGGCTCACCTGAGATAAAACACTTTTCCCAGTTTCACCCTCAATAACCAAGCCAGCAGTTAAGCCAATCATGGCCCATGCACCATTAATTGCTTCAATTCGGCGTCGCCTCTGCATTTAAAAGGATTTAATTTGATGGAGAGGAGAAAAAAGAGAATATATAATGATAAAGAACAAAATGAGGCTTTATTGGAAGGTTGAATGAAAATTAAATTTCTAAGTTTTTTTTTTTATAGGAAGGTGAGAACAGAATGCTCTTATTGTTGATAAGGCCGCATTTTTTCAGGAGATAGCAGAGGGAAAGCCTTTCATAGAACAAAGCTTCATTTCCAAAAATTTTCCTGTGTTTTTTCATGTGTGAGGCACTCTATTGGGAGCGAATGTGGTATATAATAAGCTCACCATAAATACTTCATAGTGTAAATATAATGGCGCCTAATTTATGCATGAATATTGAATTTTAAAACTCACACGAGTTCAGAGTAAGACTGATCAACTTTTATGATGCAAACTCAATGTATACAAATAAGGAAGCATTATCAAATATGACCAAAATCATGCCGACTTACAATCAAACATCTACCAACAAAAAAGGGAACGCAAAATCTATCTATCTTTGCAAGTGTCATGATCAAATCATTGAGATTTTGACGAAAGCAAAAAATACAAGTTGCGCTCTATTATTGTTGAGAATAAAGATAGTTGGATGTTAGTTTTGCAAATTTGCAATATTTGAGTGATACACAATTGCCCATACAAGAAAATAGTACTTTTGAAGACTAGCTGTGTCAGCTGCACTTACTCTTAGCTGTTCTTTAGCCTGAATTTCTTGCAACTGTTTCGCAGCTAAGCGTTTGGCTTCCAAAGGATCCACCATCATAATCTCAGCGCTTGAACTTCGTTTTCCTTGAGAATTCTGTTGAGTAAGCAAAAATAAACTCGTGTAATCAAGTGACGAAGGAATGCAGTTACTTTTATTTACTTTTTTTTTTTTCCTTTTATTCTATTTTTATTTGTTTCCTTACTAATAGATCCTGTAATGGGTATTTATACCTCTCTTTGCATCAATAAGATTTACCCTAGTTCTATTCTCAAAGTTAACATGACATCGGAGCTAGGTTCTAATCTAGCTACCAGGTCTCTCCACTAGCCAGCCGTCTGCTGGCCTCCAGGGGCAGGTTCTTCCTCCAACGGCTAAGCCTTCCTCCGCATATCGGGGGACTTCCTCTGTAGCGACTTGATTTTCGTCCAAATGTTAGTCGTTCGTATCAATCAGGAATAAAAGAAATCATAATAAAGAGTTTCCTTCTTCGCAATAATGCAAAGAAGAAAATATTATATTTGCACGGATTCTCTCCTTTTTAGCTGAATATTTAGATTATGAATATGTATTAATTAAGTTACTTAAATTAGATTATACTGAATATTATGTACCTAAATAGATTGTACAAACTACTATTTATTGGAATGAAAGCAAAGGAAAAGGCATTCAACCTATTTGCTCAAAATATTGTCATGGTATCAGAGCTTGAATCCTTGAAATTTTAGCTTTTGTTATCTTTGTCCGGCATCTTCGACTGCTTCCTCATCGGAGAGGTCGTTCTTGTCTTTGAGTTCTGCGGCATCTTCGTTCGCTTTGTTTGAGTTCTACAGCTGCTTCAAGCCGATCGCCTTCGATCGGACCTCTGGTGCTGAGTTTACGACTAGAGCGGCATCTCCGGACATCTCCGCTCGCTATGGTGCGGACATCTCTGGACTTCTCTTCACCGCGATACCTTTGAAGAGATACCTGTCGGATCTCTGGACTTTTCTTCTCCTCTGGTGCGGCATCTTCGGACATCTCCACTCGCTCGTCACCGCGATACCTGTCGGTCACCGCGATCTGTGCCGCGTTTCGTCATCTGCCGCGATCTGTCGTTCGCTCCGATCTGTTGTTCGCTCCCTCTCGTTCGATCTTCGCATCTCGCTCCCGCTCGTTCGATCTTCGCATCTCGCTCCCGCTCGTTCGATCTTCGCATCTCGCATCCACTCCGCGTTCTTCGCATCTACCGTGCCTCGATCTCTACCTCGATCTCTCCCGATCAAGATCGTTCGATCGATCGTCAAGACCCAGCCTTTGGATTTGAATTTTATTTATTTTAAAAATGTCTTCTGAATCTTAGTTATCAAATTTATGGAAAAAAATTATGCCGCATGGGAATTTCAACTCAGAATGTTCTTAAAAGGGAAGGAGCTTTGGGGTCATATTGAAGGATTTACCCCAACCCCTACTGAGACAAAAGATCTTGGTCAATGGGAAGCAAATGATGCACATATTGTTTACTGGATTTTGGGATCTATTAAGGCTCATATGATGAACAATTTACGATCCTTTGGCACAGCTAAAGAAATGTGGGAATACCTAAAGCGCGTTTATAATCAAGATAATTCTGCGAAACGCTTCCAATTGGAACTTGACATGAGTAATTATAGTCAGGATAATCTTTCAATCGAATAATATTATTCTGGTTTTTAAAATTTATGGAGCGAATATACTGATATTGTTTATGTTAAAGTGTCAAAGGAGAACTTAGCCAGCCTTCAAGTCATTCATGAAGAAAGTCGTCGTGATCAGTTCTTAATGAAATTGAGACTTGAAATTGAAACTGCTCGAGCTGGGTTGCTGACTAGAGATCCGGTTCCATGTTTGGATGTTTGTTTTGGGCAATTATTACGCGAAGAACAAAGATTGACAACACAAGCTACTATCAGTACAACAAGTGGATCATCGGAAATAATTAATGTTGCATATGCTGCTAATACCAAAGGGAAGGGGCCAGTATAGTGCTACGGAATTGTGAAAATAAAATATGTAATTATTGCAAGCAAAAGGGATATACTCTTACGGAGTGCCCAACACGACCCCAAAATCGCAAACCACAAGCACTTCATGCCACGGTATCCGACAATCCTGTCTCGACTTCTACTGTTGCTGACAATAATCAATCAACTGTCACACCCTATATGGTTCAACAGATGATTCTCTTTGCATTTTATGCTCTCGGCCTTCAAGGGAAAAGTAAAACTATTTCTTCAGTTACTTCTCCTTGGTTTGTTGATTCAGACGTCACAAAGCATATGACTAGCACAACTGAGCTATTGCATAACCAACAACCGTACACTGGTACTCAACATATTCAGGTTGCTAATGGAAATAATATTTTAATTACGACAGTTGGTGATACAGTTGGTGATATTAACTCATCATTCAAACATGTTTTGGTTTCTCCTAAATTATCTACTAACTTACTCTCTGTTAGTCAAATTGTGGATAATAACTGTGAAGTACATTTTTCTCGTGATAGTTGTATTGTGCAGGATCAGGTGTCGGGGAAGGTGATAGCGAAGGGGCCTAAAGTGGGCAGACTGTTTCCATTACAATTTACTGTTCCTCAGAATTTTTCATTAGTATCTTCAGTTGTTGAGAATAAGGCAGACATCTGGCATAAAAGACTAGGTCATCCAAATGATATGGTGTTGAATTATTTACATAAAAGTGATGTTTTTTATACAGATAAGAATTTAATAGTTGATTGTTCTGTTTGTAAACTTGGAAAAAACAAGACATTACCTTTTCTAATTTCAAGCAGTCGTGCCAATAAATGTTTTGACATTATTTATAGTGATGTTTGGAGAATTACACCAGTTAATTCACATGCTCAATATAGATATTTTGTGACATTTATTGATAATTACAGTCGATTTACTTGGATCTATTTTTTACGTACAAAAACAGAAGTATTTACTGTATTCCAAACATTTCTAGCATATGTTGAAACTCAGTTCTCCGCTCGCATTAAAATCTTACGTTCTGACAATGGCGGTGAATACATGTCTCATGAGTTTCAAGCATTTCTTCAGAACAAAGGGATTGTTTCACAACGTTATGTCCCTATATACCGCAGCAAAATGGAGTTGTTGAACGAAAAAATCGACATCTATTGGATACCGTGTGCACATTACTGATAAAATCTTCTGTTCCAGCTAAGTTTTGGACTGAAGCTCTATCTACTGCAGTTTCTCATTAATCGCTTATCATCTCAACAATTGAAGTATGAGTCTCCCTACTATCGAGTTTTTGATAAACACCCTAATTATCACACGCTACATGCTTTCGGATGTGTATGTTTTGTTCATCTACCTGCTCATGAACGTCATAAATTGGCAGCACAGTCAGTCCGATGTGCCTTTATGGGTTACAGTCCTAATCATAAAGGTTTTGTGTGTTATGATTCGATTAATAGTCGATGACATATTTCTCGAAATGTGATTTTCTTTGAACATGAATATTACTTTCAACATCATATGTCCACATCAGATACAATTATAATTCCACAATTTGATAATTCTTCTACTGATAAACAGTTCAAGCCAGACATTGTCTACACACGATGTCTGCCCCCTTCACCTTTAATCCTCCCCGACCTTGATCCATAAATTGCTCCACTAAGTATTCGTCGATCAACCCGACGTATTCGCCCTCCAGATAGATATGGGTATTCTGTAATTTTAACTAATACTATTGTTCCTACCTCTTATTTTCAAGCTATTAAACAGACTTGCTGGGTCAAAGCCATGAAAGAGGAACTTCAGGCACTTCAAGACAATCACACATGGAATATTATTTCATGTCCTACAGGCGTTAAACCCATTGGTTGCATTGGGGTTTATTCTCTTAAACTCCGATCTGATGGCTCTCTTGACAGATATAAGGCAAGATTGGTAGCTCTTGACAATCGACAGAAGATTGGGTAGCTCTTGACAATCGACAGGAATACGAGATTGATTATGACGAAACATTTGATCCTGTGGCTAAAATGACAACTGTCCGACTGGTGTTATCTATTGCTGCATCTAAAAACAGGTTCTTAAAGCAATGGATGTTAAGAATGCATTCTTACATGTGGATCTCAAAGAAGACGTCTATATGACTCCTCCAGGCTTATTTTCTACACCTTCACATGACGTCTGTAAGCTCAAACGGTCTCTATACGGTTTGAAACAGGCTCCACGGGTCTGGTTTGAAAAGTTTCGCAATACCCTTTTTAGCTTCTTTTTTATTCAAAGCCAGTATGATTCATCATTATTTCTTTGCAAGACTAACAAGGGAATTGTTTTATTATTAGGATATGTTGATGATATTGTCATCACAGGATCTAATGATCAATTGATGTCTCAGCTACAGAAACGTCTTCAAGGTTCTTTTTCATATGAAATATTTAGGGTTATTAACTTATTTCTTAGAACTCGAGGTTCGCTCTTTTGCCACTGGAATTTTTCTTCATCAGCACAACTATACGAAAGGACTCATTGCTTTGGCTGGTCTTCAAGACTTCAAGATGGTCGCTCCACTGATACCCCTTTGGATGAATGATTGTGACTTTCTATCTGAACCATCTTTATATAGACAATTGGTCGGCAGTCTCAATTATCTGAATATTACGCGTCCCGATATTTTATTTGTTGTGCAACAAGTTAGTCAATTTATGCAAGCCCCTACACATTTTCATTTAGCTGCAGTTCGACGTATTATTCGATATTTGAAAGGCACTTCTCATTGTTGTTTGTTCTTTCCTGCAAAGTCTCCTATCACTTTAACAGCCTATAGTGATGTTGATTGGGCTGGTTGTTCTGATACGCGCCGATCTATTACTGGATGGTGCATGTTTCTCGGCAACTCGTTAATCTCGTGGAAGATCAAGAAACAAGATCGAGTGTCTAAGTAATCTACTGAATCAGAATATCACGCTATGTCCTGTGCTTGTTTTGAAATCATTTGGCTTCGTGGCGTGCTGGCTGAGCTTGGTTTTCCTCAGCTTGAGTCTACTTCTCTTCATGCAGATAATACTAGTGTTATTCAGATTGATGATAATCCCG